CTTCGGTGGAGCTCCCTATGGGGCAACGATCTGGAAAGCTCAGCCACTAGATCCCCCGGTAATTGAAAATATGGGGCGTGCTCGCAGAACCCCTTTCCGCCCCCCCCCCTTCAAAGGGAGGGTGGGAGTTTAGGACCGCCCCCCCTCCCGTTGCGCTAGACAGGAGCAGGGTTTCTCCTTTTGGACCGTTTGGCAGGCTGTTGCGATCTTGTTTTTTCAGGGGCGTGTTTCAATTGTCCGCTGAGGGGGAGAAGGAGGAGGAAGACGAGGAGGAGGAGGAGGAGGAGGAGGAGGAGGAGGAGGAGGAGGAGGAGAGGGCGACGTCAACGACGAGGACGAGGACGTGGAGAGGAGAGGACTCAAGAAACCAGGAAGGGAGGGGGAGCAGCATCAGCAGAAGAGCGAGGAGAAGGAGGAGGAGGAGGAGGAGGAGCCAGTGAGTAATGAGTAGTCAATCGTGAGAAGTGAGTCGTCGGGAGTAGGGAGTAGTGAATCGTGTTTAGTAGGTTGTGAGTAGTGAGTAGAGAGTAGTGATTAGTGTGTAGCGAGTAGTGCGTAGTGAGTTGCGAGCAGTAAGCTGTAAGTTGCGAGTTGTGAGTATATTGAATGGAGAATTGAGTAGTGATACAGTTGTGGCGAGTACTGAGTAGTGAGTTGCGAGAAGTGTGTAGTGAGTAGCGAGTAGTAATCAGTCAGTAGCGAATAGGGAGTAGGGAGTAGTGAGTAATGAGGTGGGAGTAGTGCGTCGTGACTGGTGTGTAGTGATCAGCTACTAGTGAGTAGTGGGTATCGAGTAGTGAGTGGTGAGTAGTGAGTAAGTAGTGTGTAGTAATTGTTTTAGGATTCGGGTTCGGGTGAGGTAGGGCTTGAGGATTACGGTTAGGGTTCGAGGTGGGGGTCGGGGTCTGGTGGAGACAGTGGGCAGCGTAGCAAAAGGGGAGGAGGGGTGGTCCGAATTGTGACTCCAAAGAGAAGGAGGGGTGGGGTGTCGGTGATTCGTCGACGACGGACCACGAACGGGGGGAGGGGGATTCCCCGACGACGGACCAGGAAAGGGCGGGGGGCTTCACGACGACGGACCCGGGAAAGGGAGGGGGTGAGGGGGGTCCGGGCCCCCTCCCTTCCCCCCTATGGGGGATCCAGCGGCGCGCCCTCATATGTGTGCTGGGTGGGGTGTACTGGGCGGGGGAACCGCATGCGAGTGCAGCCACTGGGGCCTTCGGTGGAGCTCCCTGTGGGGCCACGAAGCGTTATACTGGGTGGGGAACCGCATGCACGCTCAGCCACTGAGGCATTCGGTGGAGCTCCCTATGATGCCACGAAGCGCTGTACTGGGTGGGGGGACGCATGCTGATGAGGGCATAAGCAAGGAGGGGGAGGAGGGGGGAGGGGGAAGAGGGTGGGAGGTGACGCAGCTCCCTACGGGGCCACGACCCTCGTGAGGGGTGTGCCGAAATGGGCTGGGGGACGCATGCAGACCCTGCCGCCGGGGCCTTCGGTGGAGCTCCTTATGGGGACACGATCCTCGTGAGGGGCGTGCCAGAATTGGCGGGGGGGCGCGTGCGGACCCTGCCGCGGGGGCCTTCGGTGGAGCTCCCTATGGGGCCACGATCCTCGTGAGGGGTGTGCCGAAACCAGTTGGGGGACGCATGCGGACCCTGCCGCTGGGGTCTTCGGTGGGGTCCCTACGGGGCCACGATGCAAGGGTTTGCCAAAATGTGCGGGGGGACGCATGCGGATCCTGCCGCGGGGGCCTTCGGTGGAGCTCCCTATGGGGCCACGATCCTCATGAGGGGTGTGCCGACATGAGCAGGGGGACGCATGCGGACATTGCCCCTGCGGCCTTCGGTGGAGCTCCCTTATGGGGCCACGAACCGTGTGAGGAGTGTGCCAGAATGTGGTGGGCATGCGGAGAGCAGAGGCACGGGATGGGAGGAAGGAGGAAGGGAGGGGGCAGCGGGAGGAGAGGTGAGGTGACTCGGGGCTCTGAAGCGAGGACCCAACAGCACAGAATGGTTGGAATACATGAAAGACGTCGTCATAGGTAGCCTCTGATTTCGACGCGGATGGCCACGAACTGTGTGAGGGGTGCGCCAAAATGAATAGCCTTGACGTGTGGAGCCACGCAGCGCTGTCCTGGGTGGCGTTGATGAATGCGAACCCTGCCGCTGGGGCCTTCAGTGGAGCTCCCTATGGGGTCATGAAACGCCGTCCTGGGTGGCGTTGACGCATGCGGCCGGTGCCACTGGGCCTTCGGTGGAGCTCCGCATGGAGCCACGAAGCGCTGTCTGGGTTGGCGTTGACGCATGCGGCCTGTGCCACTGGAGCCTTCGGTGGAGCTCCCTATGGGGCCACGAAACGTTGTCCTGGGTGGCGTTGACGCGTGCGGACCCTGCCACTGGAGCCTTCGGGGAGCTCCCTAAAGGGCTACGAAGCGCTGTCCTGGGCGGCGTTGACGCATGCGGCCTGTGCCATTGGAGCCTTCGGTGGAGCTCCCTCCCCATGGGGCCAGGAAAACATGCGAGGGGTGTGCCGAAATGGTGGACATGCGGGGAGCATCGGCAAGGATGGGGAGGAGGGGGGAGGGGGCAGCTGGGAGGAGGGAAGGGGCAGCGGGAGGTGAGGCGAGGTGACGCGGGGCGCTGTCTTTTCAAAATGAGGACCCAACACCACAGGATGGTTGGGGAACACAACCAGACATCGTCATAGGTAGGCACTGATTTCGACGCGGGTGGCCACGCACCGTGGGAAGGGTGCGCCGACATGACTTGCATGGATGCATGCTAACCCTGACACTGGAGCCTTCGGTGGAGTTCCTTATGAGGCCACGAAACGTTGTCCTGGGTGGCGTTGGCGCATGCGGACCCTGCCACTGGAGCCTTCGGTGGAGCTCCCTGTGGGTCCAGGAAGCGCTGTCCTGAGTGGCGTTGACGCACACGGCCTGTGCAGCTGGAGCCTCCTGTGGAGCTCCCTATGGGGTCACGAGACGCCGTCCTGGGTGGCGATGAAGCATGCGGCCTGTGCCAGTGGAGCCTTCTGTGGAGCTCCCTATGGGGTCACGAAGCGCTGTCCTGGGTGGCGTTGGCGCATGCGGCCTGTGCCACTGAAGCTTTCCGTCCCTATGGGGCCACGAAGCGGTGTCTTGGGTGGCGTTGACGCGTGCGGCCTTCGCCACTGGAGCTTTCGGTGGAGCTCCCTGTGGGGCCAGGAATCGCTGTGCTGGGTGGCGTTGACGCATGCGGACCCTGCCGCTGGGGCCTTCCGTGGAGCTCCCTGTGGGGCCACGGAACGCTGTCCTGGGTGGCGTTAGCGCATGCAGCCTTCGCCATTGGAGCCTTCGGTGGAGCTCCCTATGGCCACGAAACGTTGTCCTGGGTGGCGTTGACGCGTGCGGACCCTGCCACTGGAGCCCTCGGGGAGCTCCCGAAAGGGCTACGAAGCGCTGTCCTTGGTGGCGTTGACGCATGCGGACCCTGACACTGGAGCCTTCGGTGGAGCTTTCTATGGGGCCACGAAACGTTGTCCTGGGGGGCCTTGACGCATGCGGACCCTGTCACTGAGCCTTCGATGGAGCTCCCTATGTGGCCATGGCAACGTTCGAGGGGTGTGCCGAAATGATAGACATGCGGAGAGCAGAAGCAAGGAGGGGGAGGAGGGGAAGGGAGCAGCGGGGAGGGAGGGAGGGGCAGCGGGAGGTGAGGTGACGCGAGGCGCTGTCTTTTCAAAACGAGGACCCAACACCACAGGATGGTTGGGACAAAAAAGATCCAACACCACAGGATGGTTTGGAAACATTGGTTTCGTCCCTTATTTGTCTTTCCTTGCTTTTACAGCTCGGCTGTATGTTGGGCCATCTGAGAGCCTCGTGCGGACGTCTTGGGGGGCCACCCTGATCTATCTTGTGTATTCTTGGGGCTGCGTGTAGTGGTGAGACAAGTGCTGTGTGGCGTCCGGCAGGCGGCGCTGTGTGGCGCTTGAGGTTTCCACTGTGTGTTCCCAGTTGGTGCGTCAGATGAACAGGAAGCACGACGTCTCGTGTGTGACAGTGGCTCAGGTTGTTGCAGCTCCGAGCGAGGAAGACGGAGGTGTGACCGCGGTGCAAATTTCCGAGGCGGGAGTTGATCCATATCCACCGCCTGGAGGGTCAGTTTTCGGAGCCTCGGCAGGCTGTGGATATGGACATATTCGGGCCCCCAGGGGCCGAAATATATCCATATCCACCGCCCGCTGGGGCACCAGGACGTCGGTTCCCAACCGATACATCCTCGCCTCGCAAAATTGAGAGTGCCGCAGTCGGAGAGGCGATTGCCAGCAGACTATCAGCGGTCGTGGGTTCGGCCGCATCGAAGCGAGGACGCGCCCAGCTTGCCTTCAAATATTCACGTGCTCCCGTGAGCTCGGCTGATCATTCCAGGCCATCTTACCAGTGTTGCACGAGGGTGTTAACATGCGAAGGTCGCGGGGAAGCCGGTGGGCAGCGAGGCGAGGTTGCGTACAGCGGCCCTGACGGCCAGGACTTCGTGGGTGTGCATGTCTGCGTTCAGCAGCCTGGGCGCGGGACGGATCGCAGGCGGGTCGCGAGTGGGTGACGGCAGCGCACGCACGCAAGGCAGGCAAGGTGACGACGAGAAGAACCATTATCTTGCCCCCAAGGATCCACACCCGATAATGCGAAGCGGGATACCCAGGGAGCACATGGAGGCCCTTTGGGCCTGGCGGTCGCAGTATGCAGGGTGGGCGAGGCGGGACGGGAGCACTTTTCGGAACTACTCGCAGCTCCAACCTGTCGGGTTGGAAACAGCGACCGCAACACAAACCTCGGAACACCATGCGATCAGAAGCTGATGAGAAGTGTGGATTATATTGGGCATGGTTCGTTGGCTCAAGTATCGGCATTGGTCTGATCTACCCTTGGCGTGCAATCGGCCATCGCTGCCGGTTCACCCACACTACCACTCAGTTTGCGATCCACCTGTGCACGAGGCGTCGAGGTCCAGGCAATGGCACGCTCGCCGCGACTGCGGAACGCTGTCGTGCAGGTGTCGTCGTTGCTGCTGACGGTGTTCACGCTGTGTGTCTTATTTGTCGTTTTTGGAGCGTCGAAAGCACCAACGTGGGCACGTCGGGAGTCTTGCTCTTCAGAGTCGAAGGCGGAGGCGCTGTTTGACTACTCTGAGTTCTACTCTTGCTCGGAGATACTACCTCAGCCGCTGAAGATGGTACTGCTGCTCATCTGGCTGCTCCTGGTGCTGAGCCTGCTGGCGACCACCGCGGACCTCTTCTTCGTTCCTCAGCTCGAAGCGCTGTCGTGCAGACTGGGGCTGTCAGAGGACGTGGCTGGAGTCACCTTACTGGCACTGGGGAACGGCATGCCAGATGTCATGACAGCGACAAGCGCTATCAACAAAGCAGAAGATCTGGCCCTTTCTCTGGGGGAGTTGTTCGGAGCTGGGAATTTTATTCTCAGCTTCGTCTTGGGCTGCGTTATACTGTGCCAGAGGACGCCTGTGGAGGTGGATCGCTGCGCTCTGTTTCGAGATGCTGGGGCTTATGTATGCGTTATTGTCCTCATTGTTGCTATAACGGTAGACAACGAGGTGAGTGTGACTGAGAGCTTTGTGTTCGTGGTTGTGTACGTCGCTTACATTGTGGTTGTGGTATTTGGCCGACGTTGCCAGGGATGCGGTCCGTCATCAGACGGGCCGAGCTCCGAGCCCACTGGGAGCGCCGATGAAATCAGTTTGCAGGACGCGGCAGTTGGGGCCGTGCCCCTGGCTGGTGGCCACATGGCCACAGCCACTGATGCCGAGGCGCCTCCGGGATCCCTGGAGTCGCCAACTACGGACTCCGTGGGCTTGACCACGTTGGTGCAGTCTGCCCTGGAGTTGCCCTTCACGCTGGCGAGGCACGTTTCCATCCCCTCGGCCACTTGGGGCCCCAAGCGTCGGCTCAAGGCCGCTGCGTGCCCCGTCGGCGGCATGCTGACAGTTCTTCTCTCTTTCGGCGGGTGGGCAGGATTCCAGAGGCAGTGCATTGTCCTGCCAGCTTGGGCACTGTGTGCACTTGCAGGGGGGCTCTGTGGCTTGGGTGTGCTGGCCTTCTCCTCGCCGGATCGCCCGCCCAGGTGGCACGTGTTGTTGCTGCTGCTGGCGCTGGTATCCGCCGTCAGTTGGTTCAACCTGCTTGCCAACGAATGCGTAGCGTTGCTGGAGCTGTTTGGGACCACCCTGGGCATATCATCCACGATTCTTGGGATAACAGTGCTAGCCTGGGGGAACTCCGTCGGGGACTTGGTGGCAGACACAGCAGTCGCACGGCAGGGAAAGGTGAGGACAGCAGTCGCTGGGTGCTTCGGATCCCCTTTGCTCAGCGACCTGCTTGGACTCGGGGTATCGTTGTCGTCGTACACGCTGTCGACAGGACCACTGCGCACAAAGATGACTCAACAAACAAAGATTGCAGCTGGATTCGCGCTGCTGTCCGTGCTGACCACCGTCACCGGATGCACAGTGCATGGCTACCGTTTCCCTAAATATTTCGCCATTGTGTTGTTCTGCCAGTACGCGGCGTTTTTGTTTGTATCCATAGTTCTGGAGATCTAATGCGCGCGAGGGCGCATCTGCTCTGCAGATGGTGTTGACGACTACGATGGCTCACACATTCTGCAACGATCGGCTCTCCACTCGCACCCTTGTTGTGTAGATTGCGTTGTTCACCTGTGTTGGGGCGCAATGGCAACTCTTATATCAACAGGTTGGTGAACAAACCTCACTTTGTTTTGCCCGGCGTCTCCCCCCCCCCAGCCCAGAAGGTTGGCCAAGTTTTCTAAACAAAGTTGCGTGTGTCAGGCTGGTGCAGCATTTGCTTCAGGTGCTCACCTCTTCGCGGGAGACGGCAGGGCAAGCGTTCCGTGCGATCATGGACCGTGTTAGGGGGTTTGTCGGTGCCGTTTTGAAGCCATCTCAGGGGCTTCTTGGGCCATTCTGGGCCACCCTGGGCAGTCTTGGGGTTTTTTGACGGCTGAGTGTGGCCCCTTTTGGGTCGCTTGGCGATCCCCTCCCCCAGTCTTGGGCCATATTGGGCCTCCGTAGGCCCTTTTGGGGCCGCCGTTTGATGCCCGCTTGTGGTCATCTTGGGAGCCGACTGGGTTGTCTTGGAGGCTCTGGAGACCGTCAATGCGCGCACCCCAAAATCGTACCCACAATGTTTGCTAGCGCGGACCCTAAAGTAGTGAGTTATTGTACTGTGGGTTCGCAATCTACATGGGACAACATGTGGCTCAAGCTATGAAGCGTGATCAAGAATGCGCAGATTATGAGGTGCATGATGTGTGTCGTAAGTTTTCAAGCTTTTTCTTGCAAGCTAGGCGATGTAAGTGAAGCTGTGTGGTGCAATCCAGGTCGTGTAGGCAAAGCCATGCCAGCAGCACGAGGCGCCCACGCCAGTCCACCAGGCGACACCTCAGCAGACGCAACCAGCGAACGATGCGTCCGCGGCCGCCCTCCAGGCGAAGCCTCGGCAGACCCAGCCAGCGCACGGGGCGCCCCCGCGGCGCCCACGGCCGCCCACCAGGCGAAGTTTCGGCAGGCCCGCCGAGCCCGTGGCCGCCGCCAACCGGGCGAGACCTCGACAGGCCCAGCCGGCGTGCGGGCGGCCCCCCGAGGCGGCCACGGCCGCCCACCAGGGGAAATTCTGGCAGACACGCGCGCACTCCTTGGGGGGGGGGGGGCACGTTTCCCTGCGCAGATTGCCTGTGAGAGTTCGGTATGTTTCTTCTACCGCCCACTGCGGGAGCCCATGCCCCGAAATCAGTGGCCTTCCGTCGTGACCCCGTCGATCGCCCCCATCGTTCCCCTCCACCGTGCCGCCCCCTCATCGTGGCTACCATCGTGCCCCCCCCCCTGTCGTGCCCCCCCATGGCACCCCCTCGTGGGCCCCCTATCGTGCCCCCCCCCCCTCATCGGGCCTCCCATGACGCCTCACCCCTTCTTGCGCTCTCCTCCCATCGTGGCCCCCCTTCGTGGCTTCCATGGTGCCCCCCAGCATGGCACCCTTTCGTTACTCCCGATCGGGGCCCTCCATCGTGGCCGACAATCCTGGCCACCCATGATGGCTACACCATCGTAGCCCCCATCGTATCCCGCTCATCGTGGACCCCCTATCGTGGCCACTCATCGTGGCCCTATAGAGGTCCGCAGTTGTACCCCTGCATCTCGGCCACCTATCGTGGTGATTTGTTCGATGCCACCATGTTGTGTTGAGTCTTAGTCTTGAGGAGACAGCGCCCCGCGTCTCTCACACCTCCTCCCGCTCCCTCCTGCCCCTCCCCTCCCCCCTCTTCCCGTCCGTGCCTCTGGTCTCCACGTGCCGTCATCACCATCACCATCACCATCACCATCTCCATCACCATCATCCTCATCATGAGCGCGCGGGCCAAGGTGCACACAGCGCGCCGCGCGTGCGTGTGCGGTTCTCCCCTCATCCCCGTCCCCCGCCCTGTGGACGTTCGCCTGGCTGGGCTCGGCTCGAAATTCTGTGCGGTGTCGGCCTGGGCCTCGCGTTGGCCCTGGCACTCCGCGTCTGTGTGGCCCTTTGGGCCTCGGCCTACGAGCCTTCCGTGTGGGCGACCTGCGGGCGCCCTCCTCATCGGCTGGATTCGGCTCGGAATTCTCGGCGGCGCTGGCCTGGGCCTCGAGAGGCCCTGCCACGCCGCCGCGGGCCCGTCGTCCTCTGGCCGTCGGGGTCTTCACGGCGGATGTTGCCATCGGCCTTGCTGGCCTCAGACAGCAGGATCGGTAGCGGTAACCGCCCGTCTGGTTGGTGTCCTCGAGGGGCCCCAGCGCTTGCGCATGGGAATGTAGCACGGCGTGGATGAGCTCCGCTCCCCGACCTGCAGGCCAGCATCATCATCATCATCATCATCATCATCATCACCACCATCATCATCATCATCAGCATCAGCATCATCATCCGTAACCATTTTGGCTCAAGTTGGAACCATTGCTCCGTGGCTCCAGCTTGGGAGCAGCCAAGAAGCAGATCGAGGGTTCTCGGCAGACAGGCTGCCTGCGGCTCTCCTTATCCCTCCCCCACCGAGTGCATACCCCTTCGGCCCTTCTCCCTTCTCAGCCGTGATGGCGGTCGATATGTCCGCGATCCATGCCATGCTCGATGCCCAGCTTGTGAATATCGAGAAAACCATAGATGATAAACTCGAGGCGAAGGTCTCGGGATTAGCGGCCACGGTTGGAGTCCAAGGTCAGATGCGGAAAGAGATCACCGACCGCTTAGAGAAATCAGGGACCCGTCTCAACGCCATGAAACAGATGGCTCAGGTGTACTCCCGTCTGCCTCCTTTCGTCAACAGTCAGGGGGGTAAGCGCCGCGCAGTTGACAGCTCTGTCGGGGACGGGTCCACTACGGGAGGGAGTGCAGGAGGAGGATCGTCGCTTGAGGATGCCCACCGCCTTCTCATCCTTGGGTTCCAGGATCGGTTGATGGCCGCCACTCTCGAGAGGGTTGCGAAGGACATTATCTCTAAGTGCGCGACCGTGCAGGCAGCAAGTCTCATTCGGATTCGGGCCTATGGTCTCCAGAAGAAAGTTACCTTGGATTTCCCTACCCCGGCCATGGCTTCGGACTTCCAGATGAATTTCAGGAAGCTGAGTGAGAGCTACAGCATGGTTAACCCACGTAATCAGCAGGATGTTTGGCCCCTTCGTGTGCGTCGTAACTTGTCTCCTCAACATCGGCTTCTCTTCTTCAAGATGGGGAAAGTACGGGGTGCTGTTCAGGAAGAGCTTTCAAAGGTTGGTTTGCAGGCCAATTCGAATGGGATCGGTGGTGATGTCTTCGGCCTTCGCTCGCGGGAAGACCCTGTTCCTCTCTTTCGCCTCACCTGCTGCCCCCAGAACTCTGATGTGATCCACATTCGCCCTGACGATGCAGGTCTTAACGCTCTTGGACTGAACGCTCCTGAGATCCGTGAGAAATTCGAGGCTGCGTTTGCCACGGAGCCCACGCGTCCCTTTTGAAGATGAATCGGATAGGATAGGCCGCCCTGGGGACCAAATGTTTCCGTCTCTCCCAGGGGCCTCTCTGAACTTTTTGGCGGGTGCCTTCCGCGCCCGAGAAGGGAGGATCGAGTTTAATATTTCCCCCAGTTTTGTTGCCAGTAGCTCGAGCAGTTCCGACTCCGACTCGAGCTCTTCTTCGCCCAGTGGGGGTCTGCCCGCTGATACGTCGCTTCCCTTTTTCCCGTCCCCTTTCCTGCTCTCTGTCTCTGCTCACTTGGAACTCTAGGGGACGCTTCGCTTCCATTCACCACTCCTCTCTCCGGGCCACGCGACGGTGCAAGCAGCTTCTGGGGTTGTCTCGGCGTTCCAGTATTCTGTGTGTTCAAGAGACCCACGGCACGGCTGGCGATGCAGCGGCGCCCCAGTCGGATCTGCAAGGTTGGTCGATTGGATTCTCAGGACATACCTCGGACATTGCTGGTGGTGTTCTCACGCTGATCTCTGCTGCTCTCCGTTTTTTTCTTCACGGACATTCGGCGCTACAGCATTGATGAGGGTCGTATCCTGGTCTCTACATGCAACGGCCGACGGGGTGCTCTCTGGATTCTGAACGTTCACCTGCCAACCTCGGGGGGACCTATTTGGGCGTTTCGGCGGTCTCTGAGGCTTATTCGGAGTGCTTTGGGGACTCCTGATGCACTGGTTATGATTGGTGGGGACTTCAATTTTGCTCTGGAGGAGGATGGCCGTCAGTGTGGGGATGGATCGGGGTGGAGGCCTGGGGATCGTTATCGGCGCGATACGTTCCATACGTTCTTCCCACGGTGGACTGAGGTCTACCAGCCTGAACCGACCCGTCGGGAGATTGTCAGTGGGGAAATCTGCCATGTGAGCCGTCTTGACCGTCTTTATCTCGCCTCTCCCACTGCCGTGCTCTCTGATATCTCTATCGCTTGCTCGGTTATTGGCAAAGCCACGACCACTCATAATGTCTCTGACCATATTCCAGTTTTGGCCACGTTTCGGAGATACCAGCCATCTGAGAATCCGTCTATCCATTCCTGGGTCGGGAAACACCCTCGGTTTCACATTGAGCTTGCAATTCTTCTGAGTGGTTTGGGTCGGACTGCGCCCATTAACGATCATATTGCCCTGGTCAAGAGGTGTATGTTTGAGGCTTGCAAGCGGACACGTGGCTTCCTCTCCCATCAAGTTGCTCGGGCTGCAGATGAGAAGGTTCACTTTTCTTTGGCTGCGTTGAGGGGTCTACGTGCACGGCGTACACAGCGTGTCTCTTCTGCCATCTTGCTACCCCCACCTGTCCCGCTTCTTCGACCTCGACCCTCTCACCTGTCGTAATCTTCCTGCGCTATGTGATCACATCCAGCTGCTTCAGGACCTTCGGTTGACTGAGCTTGAGCAGGAAGCCGACAAAGAGGCAGATTCGGCGATGCAGGCTCGGATGCGTTCTAGGTTGCAAAGGCGTCGTGAGCTCTGGAGGCCTCTTCAGAAACGGATCTCTCACGGGATTATCCTGGACCCTGGTGGCGCCCCGTGCAGCACCATTGATGAGGCGGGGGAGGAGC